TACAAAGCAAAGGAAACTTTTCAATTGATCCACCTACTGAACGTGATATTTACTTATGTGAGGTGATTATATAATTAACTTCGATGAAACAGCTAGAGATCTAATTTGCGAGGTTTATTAAATTCTCTTGAGGGTACGTGCGACGCAATTGGATTCGAAACAAAGCACGTTTTCTGCGTCATCATTCATTTGTAGAACATATGAGATCATCTCACTTGCGACCTAGGTTAAACGCCTTAAAATAATTTAAGAGATATCTTTGATATTGTCTTAAAGTGTGATTAAATAAGCATCAACTTTCGAACATTGAAATTTAAGAACTGGTAGAGATAAAACTGATCTTGACTTAAGTTGGATCAAAATTGTTGCTGGTGCAAGCATGGAAAAAAAATCTTGGCTCAAGCTTCGACGATGATGAAACAGCAAACTTGACACCCACTACGAGGGGGTAATAGTGGCTATCAGATCATTTTATTACATCGCTTTCGGCCATTTAGTATGAAATTACCTTAAGCTACAAGTTCAGTTTTACCTAAACACACATGTTAATGACTCATGCCACGAACTCACTTTAGCATCCTGTTTATCTGCTTCAAGGAATTTCAGTACGTGAGCTGGATTAATTTCTTGCGCTGAAGGAAATTCCAAGCCTTCTTGCAAGGTATTACCCGACACATCACTCTCCCCAGTGTTGAAGAACTTGTGCACAGCGTAATATCTCACCATTTCAGAGAAGGCAAGATGAACTCGACAGCAGAACCAAACGTACAAAACTTGTTTCGCGACCAGATGGCAGTCAAAGCGATAATGACTCTTTTCTACGTTATCATCTTAATCCTAAGCATCGTAGGCAATGCTTTGGTCATAACAATAATTTGCAGGTTTAAACATTTGAAGCGCGTTCCCGGCAATCTTTTCATTGTGAATCTCGCTTTGTGCGATTTGCTTACCCCACTGATAAGCATTCCTCTTGAAATGGCGTTGGTAGAAAACAGTGGCAAGTGGCCATTCGGGTCCTTCTTGTGCAAGATGTTTCCAGCGGCCGCAACTTTGTTTGCGACTTCTTCATCCCTCACACTGGCAGCAATCTCACTGGATCGATACAGGACACTGATGCATCCATTCAAGCAGCGTTTGGACACAAGAACCGTCAAGAAGCTTATGGCGTTTGTTCACTGCTTTTCAGGGATCTTGGTCATTCCCTATTTGATAGCCTCGCGATTGTCACCAAATTCCGTTTGTGGAGAAGTTTGGCCTAACGAAGTCCTCTCCAAGATTTATACATTTGTTCTGTTTCTTGCCCAGTACGCTCTCCCTCTGATGTTCATGGCCTTCATGTACATCCACGCAGCAAGGAATCTCTTCATGACCACGAGCAAGGCACGTTCCTTATCGTTTTCATCTGCATCGTCGAAGGATAGAAGAAATGGGTCACCAAAACCGGACAACAGTCCAAAAGCCTCAGAGGATGGAAGCTTAAACAACACCCTAGATAAACACTTTCGTCAGCACCGTGACCATAACGCTCAAGTTACTAAAGTTTTTGTGGCCATCGTTGTGATATTCGCTTTGTTTACGTTGCCCATTGAGGTCCTATGGATTTGGGGAGACTTTGCTGGAGGGAAAACCCACAGACTCTACCCAACTATAGCCGTCATCTGCCGTCTTTTTACATACGCCAATAGCTGTTTGAATCCATTTATCTTCTACAAGTTTAACCGCGATTTTCACCAGGGGTTTGTGGCCGTCTCCAGACATCTATCCTCTTGCGGAGATGATAGCTCTCTGCAATCCAACAGCAGTTCTCCCGTTGGAAATGGAAAGTACGCTCCTTTGTGGCTGACACCACGTGGGTCATTGAGCACACCAAGGTTTCTAACACCCAGAGGATCATTTCAAAGTATTACAAGACATTCAGGGAACTTTTTGGATCACCAGTCAAATACAAATCATAACGGCAACAAAATGAAAAAGTGCTTGGATGTCCCTTCCATGGACCAACCGTGTAGTCATTCGAAAGCGACCCATGTTTCGAACTATCTCAGTGGAGATACGCTGGGTTTCCCAGCTTTGAACAGTGCCTCGGATCCTTGCGTTTCGAATGCTAACTGCAAAATATCTATAAACGTTTCCTTTTACGAAAGCGATTTAACCATCGAGTTGGACAGGTTAGAGTCACTTGCGGGTCTTCCCCAGACAGACTGTTAGTAAGGAAATTATTAGTGAGGTTTATCAAATTATGAAAGAATTTCTGAAAATCAAAATTTATAGAATGACAAGAGAAGGTTAAGTCGTGTCTCTCCGAAGAAACTGTAGCCTCAACCTCACCGTATCGCAAATATTTTGTAAAGCGGTATTTTCAGAGGAAATGCCCAGAACCTGCGTTAATGTGACCTCAAATACATACATATATATATATATATATATATATATATATACATACACACATATATATAATTATACATGTATATGTATATACGTATAAGATGGACCGTCTTGTTGTCACGAAAAAAAATTTAATCTCCTCAACTACAGACATGAAAAACATGTTAATACATCAAATTACAAATACATTATTCAACGCAGACTTGATTGAAATTTAAGGGGGCTAGGTTCATCCGCCGTAACTGAAAGTGCACAGTTTTAAGCGCTTTATAATTAATCTGATTATTATTAGAAACAACTTTATGATCGCTTTCTCTCTTGCTTAGCAGATATAGAGAGGGTCGTTGACTGAAAGATCTTTTCAGCTGTTAAAATTCTATCATCAAGACAATAAAAAACTGCTTAAAAGTACTTGCTTTGGCCCGTGTAATTGTTAATTAAGTTTTGCGGGAACTCCAACTGTGCAGTGTCCTGAGTGATTAAATTGTTTTGTTTTGATGTGTTAATTGAATATTTTAGTAAACAGTCTTAAAAAAAGGCGCTTGATTAGCTCTTAAATCATTGCCCCAGGTCAAATGGCTCGCCGCTGGGATTCTGAGCGTCGACAAATGAATGAATCCTGTCAAAAGTTGCACGAATGGAGAATTGTCTGATTTGAAGACTACTTTCATGTTTACACGTTACATGTTTTAGTTCTAATTTTTCAAGACTTGTCCCATGACATCAGATGATAAAAAATCTCTACACAAGCAGGACGACAGAAACATCTCTCAAAGCACGGAATAAACACATGCAAAATCAATCAATCATCATAAAAAATTAAATTCGTCACGCTATGTTTAGATTCAAAGGTTGCTAGGTCCTCATTATTAGCGCCGCAAGACGCACGTTTCTCCGCCCGCGAGACGAGTTGGGGAGAGTTTTGCCGAGGATCTAGCGCTTAAACGAAACTCTCTTCCTTAAAACCCTTTTTGAACTTCAGTCATTTCACTAAATTTATTCTATCTCATCATCGCTGATCTTTTTTCTCAGCAAATTTTCTTGCTCAGTTTTTTTATCAAATTTTCCCCAGTCTGACGCATTTTCAGAAAACTGATCATGATGAAGGTCTTTCCCTCACTGATAATCTGAAGTTTTCATGATATCTTTTTGTTTTGCTTTGTGTTTTGTGCTTTGATGTTTTGATCGCTTTAAATTCTAACATAGTTAGTAAATTTGTCTAATCAAATTCAATAGCGCGAGCGTGCTTCATATTCCTATTGTGCACGCTCATGACGTCCGCAAACAAATCCCTCGAGAAAAAAAATTTCCATCAGGTTGAAAATGTTATAAAACAATTGGTTCATACGTCAGCTGTGCGTTCATCGAGATATGAAGCACACGGGAAGTTTGGAGAGGACTCAAGAAGCTAGAGCTGCTCTCGGCTTCGCCTCGAGCAACTCTTATGCATCTTTCGTGCTCTCCAAACTTCCCGCGTGCTTCATATCTCGATGAACGCACGCTGACGTATGAACCGATTGATAACTTGAGCATGCCTAAGTTATTTTTGCACATTTTTTCTTTTTTATAAATTCTTAGTAAAGGGATATTTCAACGCTGAATAACTCAGGCTTATCAATGAACTTACATCGTTAACGTCATTTAGATGGTATTCTTAGATAGGAGAAGGTTATAAAAGGGAAAAAAAATCCCTTGGACCAGGAAAAAAACGTAGATTAATATTAATTAATATTTTTCGGTGACAAGAAGGGGAATATTGAAATGAAAATAACGCTTATATCCATGTGTAAAGATGTATTGCCATTGATAACTGAAAGAGATGTTTAGGTCACCGAGATTTGAAAGAATTTTATCTTTTGTGAAGACAACTTGGGACGGTCGTGGAATTTAGTGAGATGTTTTACTCAAAGTTTGTTTGCGATTCAAAGATAAAAGATGGAAACGGTAAACAATGTAAGTGGGATGTCCTTAGATTATCCGAGGTTTCGTTTTCAATTGGTTAGGGAAATTCTATTTCTTTAGGGAAGAGTCACTGAGAAAATTTTTATCATTGACGGAGATCAGGCTCCTGCGGGAATTGACATCGTTTTACGCTGTCTGACCTCATTGTGAAAACGAGACTGTCATTACCTTGATAATATACATAGAAAATTCCGTCTGTCGTATTTCCTGAGTGGAATTAAGTTTTCTAGCATCGCAATGCTCAAGAGAGGTAAATAAGTGCAGAGAAGAATCAATTCAGTGCAAATTGAAAGCAAGAAGCTGTTTACCCGTACTTTGAACTTTTTGGCGGCTTATACTGAACGTGAGAAGACATTTGTAAAATTATTATTCTGATTCAGCACGTGCACGATGACATTTACATCGTTTGAAGGTAAGAAGCTGTTGACCCGAGCTTTCAATTTTGTCGGGGCTTAAAGTGAACGTTCGAAAACATTTGGAAAATTTTTGTTTTAATTTAGAAGGCGTACCCTGACATTTACAGCGTTTAAATGAATTAGTCGCTATCTTTGCTTCTACGTATTTATGAAAAGCTGTCTCGTAACGTCTTCATGCATATCATTAACAAATAATCACATGGATATCCACGTGCAATTTAGAATACATAGCTTCACGTGTATTTTTACAAAGACTACAAATTGCACCGCTTGCCCCTCAGGCTCGTGATGAATTTTGGTGGTGCTTTCAGTCAACTTAATCGACATAAATTCCAAATTTTATTTGAAATAAAGTCATTACCCAAACTTACGCATGCGACTACCCAAACTTCTACATTCTATACCGCGCACGTTAGGCTACCCCACACAAGTCGAAATATCGTCTCCTAACTTGGTTTTCAACAGTTTAAAATTTTACCGGCACGTTGATGGAATGAAAAGTGCAGACGCATAAACACGCTGATTCCCCCTTCAGCTAGACATCAGTAATTTCCTTTCCAGGAAAACGTACTAACGTTCTGAATAAGAAGACCAGATATCATTTAATTATGCGACGTTCTTCCAGATTAATGACGTTCTCGACCGGGGGCATGGGCCTCGTGACATCGATACCATTTTAGTTTAGTGTTGTAACACTGATAACATTCAGCCTCTGACTATTTTTTTTTTCGATTCCTCTCTCGTTAAAGAACCCACGCACTTTTCGCAGAAAGTAGATAACGTTACTTCAGATATTGTAGTCTGGCCTTGCTTCGAAAACTTCTTAAATTGGGGGCACCTGCAAAAATTTCCATCAAAAATTTCCGTCAAAAATTTCAAACTGCTCAATGTATTCTGACCACCAAAGTCTCCCGCAAAGTGTTGTAGAATGTATTAGAGCATAATTATCAATATGGAAAATACGCGATATTAATGCATCATTATCAGTATTATTATCCTGGATCACATTTCGTGAGAAGAGGTTGTTTATCAATCGCTTCTGGGAATTGAAGGGCTAAACCCACGAAGTTGCTATGCTTTCATCTTGAGACACTTTTCTTGCACTTGTAGTTGAAATCCCATGGCGGGCTTTTAGCGCTTGCTCTGCCTGGCAAGATTCACGTTTGTGTAGTTGTGACTGTAGTGTTGATTTGCTACATGTTTCGATAGAAAATTTAGGATTATTTTGATCAACGAGTGGACCGCTTTCCTGAATTCCCATTTTCCTCTGGCGCGCAAGCTTCGGGTCGCCGCTAACCTGCGGGGTAATGTCAAATTTGCTCCAAAGTCTTTGTATCCTCTCCAAGTTTGTCTCTGGTCTTCTCCCGGTCATTCTCCGTAGGATTTTATGCAAACCGCGACGATAATCGCGTCTAAATGTGAAAAATATAATAGGGTTTAGGCAACCGTTAGTGTAAGTGAAGAGCCGACAGATTATAATCTCTTTCGTAAGGGAGGTGACATCACCGTTCTTGCCAAAATCGATCCATAACCACAGCACTTGGTTAGGAAGGGTGCAGATGGCAAATGCAACGACGATAATTACAAACATTTTTGTGACTTTCACGTTTTGTTCTTGGCTCACGGCAAAGCTTTCTCGGCGCACGAGACGTTCTCTGAAGGACGTGGATGTGCGTCTGTCATTTTCAAGGGAGATTGACATTTTTCTTACATTCTTGGTCGCAGTGTAAAGTTTCGAAGAAGCGAGAATGTACATAGTCATCATGAACAGCAAAGGAAGCGCGTACTGCACAGAGACCAAAAACACTGTGTAAATTTGTCGATACAAAAACCCTGGCCATTCTTCAATGCAAATATTGTTCTGTAATCCAAGGAACACGGCGTATGGAACAACAAATAAAACAGAAACACAATCCACCGCTACAAGGATACATTTTACTTGGATCACCGAGAGTTTTGATTTAAAAGGATGAAGCAATGTCCGGTATCTATCCAGCGAAATGGCGGCCAAAGTGAGGGATGAACAAGTGGAAAGAAGAGTAGCTGCAGGGAACAACAGCTTGCACAAAGCATCTCCATAAGGCCAGATGTAGTGGTTCTCTTCCACCACAACATCAAAGGGAATACTCATAATCAAGGTTAATAAGTCAACAAAAGCCAGATTTAAAATGAGAATGTTACTTGGCAGAGACCTCATGCGCTTTGAGCTAAGAATTACCGCTATTAGCATTGCGTTTCCAGTTGTGCAGATGAGGAGTATCGAACAATACAAGACTATCTTTGGGATTTTAAAGCCCAGTGTTTCTGGTGGCGGATAAATTGTATGTAAATGAAGATCCGCATTTCTTGTAGCGTCATCTGAAAGAGATACATTGGTCATATTTGTTTCCTCCTTAGTCAGATCCAGTTTCTGAAATTCGACTATTAAAATGTGTTAGACCTTTTTAGGTTGCTTAAATCTTTAATATGCGACTTACAGTTTAATTTACTAAAAGCTTTGACGACCAATCAACAGGCAGATAATGTTGTGAATGTTTAATCAACTGACGCCGTTCGGGAAGTCCACAAAGAGACACGGCATGCAATAATTTCAAAGTTTATATGTGGACAGACAAAAACTGCAGCCGCCTGATTAGTAAATTTAAACGATGACATAAGGTAAAAAAAATAAATTGTTTGATTCTATAGACATTCATGCTTTTTTTTTGAGCTGATCAACAAACAACTAGATCTGTCATTATGAATATCATGCGACTTGGCGATCTAAAGTTGACGTGAGTGGTTGGTGGTGATTCGCTCGCAAAATCAGCTGCCTGTTTCAACCGAAGCAGCCAATAGCGCCGACGTTTTACCTCTCCTTTTAACGTTTTAATCTTGCAATATCGCTTAAAAGATTGATGATTCGGGGAAGACAATAGTGATGGTGAATTACCTTTGTACTCACCGTCAGCAGGAAAGTGGACATGGAAAAACCATTAACACAAATTTTATTGCAAAAAAAGGGCGGGATTTAGCATCTTTGTAAATTTTCTTATCACATATGACTCAGCATTTCACCCTATATTTCTTAACTAGGTCAATTTGGCGCTATAAAATTAAGAAACTGCTATTGATGGTCAAGGATCATATAGAAGGAAATCTTAAGAGAGTTTTGGTGTGAGCAATTTTGAAAACTGGGCAACTAAACTACAGTTTTCATGTTATTCGGATAAATCATGTAATTTATACAAGTGTTTTGTATGAAAACTTGCCTACGCGATGTTTAGAACACCCGCTGTGTAGAACTACAGTCAGTAATGAAACAAACATTCAAAGTAGCACCCAGTAGTGATTACCAGACGTAATTGATGCAGGGGGTAAGTTTCTAAAGAAACTGTGGTGCTGCGTCTATGGGGGAGTATAACAGGGTAATTTGGTTTTATCAACTGTGTTGATAATTTAAATTGGCAGCCGCAAAGAGGTTGTAAAGCTGATGTTTCGAGCGTTAGACACTTATCAGAGCATTAAGAGCAATTTTGGGTTTTGTGTGGTTTATACACAGAAAGATAGAGCTGCACTTTGGTTGGAGCATGAATACGACAAAAGAATATATTTTTTGAAAAGAGTTCGTTGATACTGTGGGGATTAAGAGTGCCGATTTGAAAGATAAATTTTTGTTCTAGAGTTTTGCGGCTTCCCGAATTGCGTAAATGTATTGAAAGGCTACATAAGGCTGCCATATGGTGCTTAGAATGGTTAGGGAAATTAAATTGTCAAAATACTGATCTTTATGCGTATTTGTTATTCATTTCTACGTCATGGCGTTCTCTGGATCGGTCGCCTAAGTCGTCTTTCTGTTTCGCCGAAGTAATTAAGCCGGTAAGATTCAAACCAAACTAAACTTGAAAACAGGTTCGATTGCAGGAAAGTTCGCGGCAGAGGAAGTTCATAAATTGTTTGAGATATCAGATCATTTAAAACTGATATCACATTCTATAACATTCCACATCATGGAAAGGTGACAGCAATTAAGAGAACATACGGTGATTAACAGTAGAAAAGAAATTATTTGCATAACCGGCAAAGTTCGAGAGGATTTCTCATGTTTGACACAGTTCAAATACATACCCTGAAAAACCAAACTAACCCCTCACAACCTCACATTAGCATGAAAGTTATCCATACTGCGCTCTATTCATTCCCTATGGCACTTACGAAGAGAGTTGTCTAAAAATGAAGCAGTTCTTGAATTTGCGATCATTTCCTTTACTCTTAAGTAATGATTCACCTAGGGATGAAAATATTGGGTAAATTAGCTGCTTCTTACTCTTTGGGGTTACAGGGTTCATCTTTTGAGTTCCAGGTTATTTTGACTTTCTATGAATGGTTTGAGCACTTTTTTTCATTATCTAGCTAAGTTGGAAAGCTATCACCTTTTTTTTTTTAATAACAGGCCGTTCACACGTCAACGATTTTACATACTTCCGACCGCCCGACTTTATACTTAAAACCGCAAGCTCTTTACGTCTCTGATACTGCCTATGTGGCCATATGTAAGACGATGAGATAAGGCGACGTCAGTTTGCCCGTATGTAGCCTTTGTAATCCAAGGGATACGGCGCATGGAACAAATAAACAAATAAATGGAACAAATAAACAGAAAGACAATCCACACTACAAGGATTCATATTTTTGAGTCACCGATAATATTAAAAAATCGCACGATTTGTTAAAACTGAAGCAAGTGAGGTTAGATTACTGAAATCCCACATTACTGAAATATAGGCACTCGATTCTAAAATTTTCCCACAGCCTAAACAGCCACTCCTGATACTAACAGTTCAACATCTGCTTCCTCAAAATATCATGTTGAGATGTAAGGAGATTTACAGAAATGGAAAACAATATATGTTCGCATGAATTATTTCTTTGTTATTCTGTGTAAAAGGTTTGGCTGTTCTGCTGAGATGAAAATTCGATTCTGCTTCCACTTGGTTCAACCCTTTGAAATTTAGTGCGTTTTGTTGACAACGACGTTTGAAAGGTAGTGAGCTAATTGAATCGAGGCTTTGAAGGAGTTTCGTATACCTTCACCTCTAGAACTCTCCTTGAAGTCAAAAGTGTCATTATTTGCAATGTCGAGGTATCAGCGGGAAGCGCCTCCTTCATTAAAGACGCTATTTGTTGATTCCACTTCATGCCCATCTCTTCTTGCAACAGAAGGATCAGCAATGAATGTCAACATGATAGCATGTCTTTGCATGGACATGGGACATGTGGAATTCTTAAGCAAACTCTTCCTGAAACGAAACTCACGGCTATAAAAGCCATAGATAATTGGATTGAGGACACTATTTGAGTATGTGAACAGTCAACAAATAGCTGATATGATGGCAAAGTAGTCGCTATCTTTTCCATTTCCGAAATCCACCCATAACCATAAGACTTGGTTGGGGAACATACTCAACGAAAACACTATTACAGCCACGATAAACATCTTCGTGACTTGAATGTTTTGCTCCTTTTTCTTCCTACGAAGATTCATAGCAGAGAGCTCTGATTGCGATCTCTCTATCCCTGTGAATTCCATTTCTTTGTGGTTTCATATAATTTGATGGTCCGCGGAGGGTCCTAAGCGCAAGAGAATGTAAAGTGACCATAAGAGTCAACGGTATTCCATACTGTACAAGAAAGAGAATCAAAGTGTATGCTTTTCTGAAGCTCGAGACGGGAGCAGGGCAGTTCTCACGGCAATCACCTCCTTCCAACCTCGGCACACCAACATAAGGTATCATCAACACACGTGATGTGAAATGAATTGCAAAGATGCAGTGCTTGGTGTGAGTTTTCGTGATCCTTCGGGCCTTAAAAGGATGCACGATTTCTCGAAATCTGTCTTAACAAATCATAGTTAGCGTTAAGGATGTTGAAGTGGAGAACATTGTCTGTAGAGGCCCAAATATCCTGCAAAGGATTGGCCAAAAAGTCCACTTGTAGCCGGATTCTTCAAAAATCCAATCGATCGGGATGCTGATGGTGGGAGTAATGGCGTCACAGATGGCCAAATTTCCTCTGAGTCCTGATAATGTGTACGACAACTTAAGGTCAAGATAATTACGTATAAGACGTACTTAGGGATTTGGAACCGAGCGATTATTGCAGCTCTCAAAGACGTAGTCGTAGTCGTCGATAGTGTGCTTGGCGAGGTGCAGTTAAACCCTGAAATCGTGTCATTTCTCCCAAAAATCAGTAAAAGTGTTGGATTTTCCGTTTATTTGAAAAATTGGTAACTGAAGTTTTACCTTTCTCGAGAGATAATAATCAGTTCCTGGAGAGCGACTCGCTGATCTTAAGCTCACGTGAATCCCGTTAATTGAAGGGCTTAACGGTTTGGGATAGCCGTTAGAGTTCCGAAGAGCATCTAGATTACGTCAAAGCAGTGGTAAATGCAAATTTATATTATAATCTCGTCGCGTAGATGTTCATCCATTAGACCTGAGTAATTAGCTAGCAAAGGCTTAATGAACTTGCGTGCGAAGCACTAATTCTGCTCAAATCAAAATCTTTTTCTGATAGTAGGTCATAACCTCAGAAGTTTATCTTCTCTAGAGCAATGTCACCTATCCTTTGGTTGAGGTCTCAAGTGACGGTAAATTTGAAAATTGGGGGGGGGGGGAAGACAATTAAAAACAGAGAAGATTTGACTTTTAGTGATTACATTTAGATCTAATTTCTACTTCAACGGCAAACGAAAAAAAAAGATCTCTCCAATCGAACCTGTTCAAAATTGAAGGAAGAAAAATCTCTTGTTCAGCGCCGATGCAAATATGTTCACCTCAAAGCACAAGCTGCTAAAAAAAAAGACTCCGAAAGTTCAAGTTTTGCTGTTTGCTGTTTCCCGTTGATATCATGCTTAACCCCTCTTTTAAAACGCAAGAGAATTGGGCGGAATACCAATTAAGCTTCATTTTAGGGTAATCATTAATCAATCGCAAATTGGGAGGATCGAAGGAAGTCATTGCGCCAACAGATGAGACCTTTAACCACTGCGGTTTTTTAAGAACCTTATCGACCATTTACAGTTCATATTCTTTTCTTGTAATCAAATTAAAGAAAGCCCTAGAGGTAAAGGTGGTGAGAAGTCAGTTTCTTTTCCGGTGGTTATCTCGCAAAAACTAATTCAGATATTAGGGGTTTGTCAAGTAATTCTTCATCTTCAGTTACTTTGCCTGTCCAAGTATGAGAATAAATTTTGTTGGAGATGGCATGTTCTTTTATAGCTTTTCAACTGAAAGTCGCCTGTGCTCGCCAGGAATTTAGCAAAACAGTCCACATTTGGCTAAAATACTATAATGAGCAACATCTTTTGGAACTACGGTGATGAATGACTGATGAGTTTTGACTCAACATAGCAAAACAACAAGAAGATAAAGTAACAAACCAAATAAAAAACAACGAGCCAACGACAAAAAAAAAAGCAAGAACCAAAAATAGAAAAATCCCAAATCAAACACTAAAAACAAAGTCTTGATCAAAATCCTCTAATCATGCATGTTATACGAACTTTAGTTCTGTACTTTTTACGAAGAA